TGGACACCTTGTATAGTTGTATATCCTCTTTCAGTTCTGTTGTATCAGAACTGGAAGTTCGTAAAAGGTGAGAAAGGTTAAAAACATGTATTGGCAATTTTAATCAATGTCACATCGTATTTTCTTCTCTCTACGTAGCCAACGGCCCGCGAGAAGCGAGCACACGGTGAGGCGTTTCAGTTGACCTAAGCCTTTCTCAGAAAGTGTCAGCACACGAAAAGGCGCTTACCGTTACACTTGGTGGCAGACTACGTCGATGTTTTTATCGATGGATCACAGGCGGCGGTCGTCCTCAGATCAACAGGGAAAAATATTCGCTCCTAACACTTTCGCAATGGAAGTGTGTAATCAAGCTGCGAGCTCTAATCTGAGATCACGCGGTCTCCGATATGCTCCAATTAAATCAATAACTCAACGCTTATCAAATTTTTGCTTGTTATGAGCAAGCTGTTATTGGGATTTATATTGCAAAATGTCCCGACTCTGGTTCCGTCACCTCCTCCGCCAGTGGTGGTGACACCATAGGTACACACGGAGCGTTCCGTAAAGCTCGAAGTAAATAGCTTTCACGGGATCGAACATGAAAATCTTGCGTTCTGGCGGACATCGCTATCACAAAAGCTCGAAAATATGTTGACTTTAGTCAAGTGGCATTTGCCATGTCTCATTCGGATGGCCGTGCGGGGGATTGGGCAATGACGTAGAAAGTCAGCCTTCCTGGCTACTTCGCCACATAGCAAGAGTTGAAAACGATCATGCAATTGATGTTTCTTAAACCGAATGTGGCAATTCGACAACGGTACATTGTACGACAACGTACAGAAGCTCGGTGAGCTTCGTGACAGAATGGCAATGGAGCCACTGCCGGAGGCAGTGGTGGTCACCGTGTTTATAAGAGAACTCTCGTATGGTCCTTCCAAGACTGAAGTCTCTCGGCAGAGTCCGGCGACCATTGAAGATGCAGCTATGATTGCAATGCGTGAGAACTACTGTCAGCGTCAAGCATGTGGTCACTCGATCAACCCGATGAAAGCAGTGACTGCTGCTACCAGAATTCCAGAGCTGATGAATTTTAGCGCGGTCACTGTCCGTAGACAGCAAGTCCGCTGTTATGGATGTCAACAATTCTTTCACATCCACCGTGGTTCTCCACGTGGGAGACGAACCTCGCAATACGGTTCTCGTTGTAATGCCCCCGAGTCACGTGTTTTAAAACCACGACGCGTAAAAAAACACCCGAACCCGTAGATGCTGGGCGGTGTGCTGGGGCAGTTATAAGCTCTTGTGAGTGTAATGGTAGAACCACTCATGAGAGTTAAGTCCTCAAATGATTGTTATCCTTCGTTAACGACAAGGGTTGGAGTGGACTCCTCGTGGTTACATCGGGAGTGAAGGGCTACGGTCGTTTATCTTTGGCCTTGATTGATTCCGGCGCTTAGTGTAACTATGCGCAAGCAAAGTGCTGCCTAAGATGATTTAGTGCTTTCGGATGCACTTGATCGAGGCAATGGCTTTATCTCACTGTGGGTGGTCAACGCGAAAAAAATGACGGTTGATCTTCAAGTGAAGTTTGAAGACTTTAACTCGAAGGAAGAATTTACAGTCCTCGAGATGGACAGACATTATGACGTTTTTTTTAGTGTACCGGGGCTTAAAAAGCACAAGCCATGTATCGATTGGCGTTTGAAAACGATTAAAATTAGCTCTTCCCGCGTAGTTGAAATTCTTGGGGGCAATGAACTCACTTTCACTATGTACTGGAAGAAGCGTTCAGGCGCTCAGCAGTCGTATGATGCTGAATTTGATCCACACTTCATTGGTATATGTCATGCAATTGACATTCCTCAGGTAAGGAAATATACAAAGTTGCATGGAGTGACCGCGGGTGGTCGCTCAGAAAGTGTGTCGAGTAGTATGTGGTGCCCGGAATTGACCACTTAAAAATGAATGAATTGTTGGTATGCTTGGCAGTTTACCCAACGAAGAAATTGTTTTGAGGGAGAGATGCCGGTTGGTGCGCCTCTAGAGTGTTGCCAACATGTGATTAAGAAAAGGTCGAGGGTATCGACTGTGGCCGGATATGCGAAAACTCCCACTAACAGTGGTTGAATCGAATTATGGGTCGGTGGGTACAACTGACCACAAAGGCGATGCTTTCATCCGACGTGTGGTTGAACACACACGAATCAACGGAATTTGTGGGTTGCGGTACTGACACTCCCATTTTAAGTGCGGTTGGGTTTGTCCAACGTACTAGTCCCCATGATGGAAATGTAGCATGCGAATATGCGGGTCCACGTATTGTGGGTGCAACGACTGTTTGTGCAGTTACCAAAGTGATATTCTTTTGGCACCGTTGCAGCCGATGTAGGAATTGGTATAGCTAGAGAAAGTCCCATACGCTGAATTCCTACACAGATGACATTGTGGAGAAAGTGTTGCTACAGTCGAACGTCGATTTAGCGAAACAACGCTCATCATAAGATATGGATGATTTGGGTTCGCGAGTAATTTTGACAGCACAGAGTTTCTGCTACTTTCATGGAGGCTGTATTAAATGCGCGACGATGGGGTGATTTTGATAAATCTAAGGCTTTGATTGCCGAGATGACGACACTGGCAGACAACAGTACTTTTCGTCGATCTAGAATGGACATGAGCTTTGACCTCCAATAGTAGGATCCGATATTAAGCCTTAGCTAATACCCACTTCAAGAAGCAGAATACAAATGGTTCCACGCGACTACAACCTTGAGGTATCTTAGTCTGATCGCCGTACTCCTGGTTTGCTCAAGATGAATGGTCAGGTGATAATATGTCACCATTTTCGAGTAAGTACGTTATTTGCGATCTCCCCAACCACTTCTAAAAGGTAAAATCTTTATCGAAAGGTGTTCAGCAGGGAGATTGTCCAAACAAGAATGCTCTTAACCTTGATAAGTTTGATGCTGGTTTATTGGATCGCATCTCGCAACAAGGTACACACAAGGATTTGAAAACAAGCAAGGAGACCAAATCAATCATTAAAAGCAAAACAGCGCTTGACTACTATCAAGACAAACTTCGAGTACTATCACTACCGAATTCCTTGATATATGAACAACTACATGGCAGGTGTTTACTAAAATCTAAGTGCTCATCAATATAATTGATCTTGTTCAGCGTCAAGGGCTCCACCTTCATGGATCACTTGATAAGCTCTGTCTGATATCACTAGGTCTGAAAGCTACGTTCA